GTTCAAACCTTGGCTTAAAAGGGAGGGGTAAATATTTACAGGTAGTTTATAATAGAATTTAAGCTAAAAATAATCCATCAGCAACCCATTTATTTTATATTCACTTTCAAGTTTTTAAATGCTTCTTTTATTAAATTAACAAGAATGAATATATCACACTTTCATTTGCCAAGCACACCTATTAGATTTTGTGTGTATAGGAGTGTATTTTGGATAGTTACTCTGTACTGCTTTCCATCCGGGCTTTTTCACTGTTACGAGATCAAACTAACGTGGTGTCGGAGACTGCAGCAGTCTCATCATTTGTATAAGACTGGTAACACATAGAATTAAAATTCCTGAAATTTATATTTTACAGCAGTTCTTTTTATAGCTGAATATATATGTTATATGGCATCTCTTTAAATTTTCTAATAAAAATTCATTTAAATTTCTAGATGATAAAAAAGAACTCGATCAGAGTTAGTAATATAAATAATTTTAATGCCAGAATTTACAGTGCTCCCAGTGTTTTCTCTGCCTAAGAGGGGTAATAGATAATTTCATTTCTAATTGAAACAACACAAAAAAGTAAAAACCAAGAGAAAAATCTGTTATCCCTTCTGCTTTTCTTCAAGTTTAAAACAGACTCTCCAAATTTAAAAGAATTCTTAAAAAATAAAAAAGTAGATGATGATGCTTAAAGAGGTTGTCTCTTGTAATTAGGGTTGAGGCTATGTTATGTAACCTTTTCATGGCAGAGCAGCTCAGTGCATTTCTCATAAGAGATAAAAAGTTTATCGTTTCTTATGCAAAGTAAAAAAAGTGAACAATTACATGGTATCATTTATTTAGGAGATAGTATTTAAAATTAAGTAATCATCCTTTTAGACATCTGTAGCTCTTGTCAAAAAATAAGATTAAAATTGAGAAGTAGACCACATTTTGTTGCAAAATAATTCTGGACATACTTCAAAACTAAAATTATGCTTATATAATATTATATTTTTCTTAAGAACTATATTGTAGGTGTACTTATCTGTTTAATATTATAATGAGGATTAATAAGAAAAAAGTATTACTTTCCCCAAAGTTTTTTATCATTACATATGTCATGGCTATTAGAAGGTAAGTGGGTATGAATTCTGAATTTTCCTCTAACCACTCTCAGGCTAAGCTGTGCATAGATATCCATCTCCCTCGCCAGTTAGGTTAGGACTGTCGGCTTGTTACCATGCGGGTAATTAGATATAATAAGAAAGTCGGTGGCGGGTCTTCTGAAAATCTTTCCCTCCTTGTCAAAAAGAGACTGAGAGGCTTCTTTCCCTGGACATTGCTCTATCACTGCTCTAGCTTCAAGTGGTGTGCTGAACTCTGGCAGCTCATTCTGTGACCATGAGTAGAAGTAGCTGAAGACAAAGTCAAAGTCAAAATCTCCATACAGCAAAATAGGAGAGAAGATTACTGAGTCCTTGGGGGACGGGGGATGTTGGTTAAACAGTCTCTGAAAAAGTCTAACTTGTCACTGGCTGCTGTGAGAGTGTAGCTGCTCTTATATATGTTAAGCACCTATAACCAATCTAGTGACTCTTGTTCCTTAATATCAGGTACTATTCAAAAGTCATTAAAGACTCAAGATCCTTGTGTTGGGTTAGCAGTATAAGTGATCAAATGTATTTTGAAAAATACAAGCTATTCTGATACCTCTCAACTGTCTTCTAATCTTTTACCTCCCATGGAGAACTTCTAGAGCAAGATAGTTACGAAATTGAGTTAAAGAACTTTGGTGAAGGCTGGTTTTTTATATATAAGGGACAGGGAAAAAGGACCACCATGTATTTGGTTTGGGTAACTGTGGAGATGATGCTACCATTACAAATGATAAAGACATTTACTATTTACCATTTACCATTCTAAATGATAAGGACAGTAACCCAATGAACAACTTAAGTCTTCTGTGTTATGAATATGAGTTGTCTGGGAATATTCATAAAATGATTCTAGAAAGTATGCAGATGTATAATCTTGGAGTTAACAGAATTGTCTAAACTATAAGACTAAGAAATTTAGTATTTTTAGTTGAAACCATTGGTGCAGATGAGATTACATAGCCAGATCTCAAATAAGGAAGAGGGCAATGTGGGACTTCAGAGAACACAAGTATTTCAGTACAAGAAGTGGTTGAAAAGGAGAAAAAAAAAATGATTACTGGTATCTACAGTAACATATCGTATTTCATTTTACATTTTTTCAGAAAAATTCTAAGACATTTGTAGTTATGGAACTTTAACGATGTGAACTTCATATGTTTTACTTTTTCTTTGAAACTAGATTCTTTCTTAAATGCTTGTTTTAGTTGATTAATGTGTAGTGCTAAATGGTAGCCTCATGGGATAAAAAACTAATGTACCATCTAACACTAACAGCTTACTGTCTTTTTTTTTTCCTTACAAGATCGATTTCATTATTATGCTTATTAGTGGAGATGTATTGATATGGGGCCAAAAAAATGTATAAATTTTTATCAGTCTTTGTTTTCAGTCATTAATAATAGATGTCTTGCTTTTAGGACACATGCAGAAATACATATAATTGCCTCTTGTATTTTGCTATTCATAATTTTGTAGTTCATTCTTTTTGTTATTTCTATCATTCATGATGTGCCCATTAATGTGCTTTTTGTATAAAAATAATGTATTTTGGAGAAGAAGGAAGATTCTGAAATTTTTTTCTTGGCTAAGGAGATTTCTTTAAAAGCAAACAGAAAAAACTCATAACTTCTGGAGAGCATTACCTTAAATCTTTCACATGACCTGTGGATGCAGATCTAGAATTGTGTGTGTGTGTGTGTGTGTGTGTGTGTGTGTGTGTATGTGTATCAAGAGCACTGTATGTTAGAATTATCAGTTTTTATCAACACTTTCCCCCCAGTAAATATAGAAATATAAATTTCAATTAACACTGTTCCTAAAAGGATCCAAAAAAAGATATTTGAATATATTTTACTCCTCCCTCTAACTTTTTCTTTGCTTTTTAAATTTCAGTTTGAATAGCACCTGTAATTAAGGAAGAAAACTGAGCCCTAGGAGCTAGGTAGGACTTCTAGCTATTGATCTGTGTAAACCCTGCTTATACTGTCAGGGGAGAAACAGTCAACTGCTGAGCTGCTTTGTCACTGACATAAGCTGAGAGAGGATTTTTTTGTCTATACTGTTTATACACTAGTCTATAGACCTGCTGCCTGGTTGAATTTTAAAGAGTGCGGAGGTTTAAAGACTTGTCCCCTGAGGGATGCTTCTGCCAGTTGGGAAGCGAGCTGAGGCTGTTTTGCAGAAGTGTGTGCATGTGTGTTGCTCATGTAAGAAAGGAGGGGGGAAGGTGTGAAAAGACTGAACAACTAAATGGGAAGCCTCCTTCTTAATTTGAGTCTTAAAACTGCTATGGAATATATGACTAATTTGGATATACTGAGAGGTAGACATCAAATTTTGAATATATATTCTCTATTGTAAGAAATTATGTGGTCAGCTTTGTAGGAGGATATCTGAATAGTATTTATATGTTTAGTAAATATGGTAAATGGCTTCACTTTCTGTAGTATGAGATAGATAAAGCAGTAATCAAAGGTAAACTGTTCTCTTTTATAAGGAACTGTTGTTCAGTAGTTTATTTCAAGTGTTTAACTACATTTAACAAAATATCATCATAGTAAGATAGTTGCCTTTCTATAAATACGGGGTCTGTGCTCCTGCTTTCAAAGGTACATGTTCATAAGCACACCTGGGTATCCTGCCCTACGGGAAGGTTTCTTTTTTTCCATAATGCTTTTCTTTCTGTTTTTGAGTTAAGGCTCTTGAAGCTGTCTGAGGTATTGATAGTAGGATTCTATTTTATTTTTGCTTGATACATTACTGCAGTATACATTTTAAAAGAATTTAAGAAATTTTACTTTAAAATAATAAATTTATTTATATTGTTTAATATACAGATACTGATGATTTTACAGTATGTTTTCTTGGTAAAGGGATAGTAGTAAGGTAACTTTCTAGGGGAATGGATTATTATATTAATATTTTTGCTTGATTTTCTTTTAATAGGAACCACTTTCATGAATCTTTGCTTTGTTTTATAAGATCACCTGGCTTTGAATTTTTATGATGTTCTAAATTTTAACTTTTGAATCAGAGTTAATTTTAAGCTGTTTTTCAGATATAACAAAATAACATCTTTTTCTGTTTTTGATAGGTGGCTTATAATTGCTTACATTTTAGTATAATTGTTAATGGTTATTATTTCTAAAAATTTTTAAACTTTTTTGTATTTACTCTAAGTTATTGAAGTTTTTAAAGTCAGGTTATTTTCTAAGTTTAAAACATTGATTTTAATATTAAACAATTTTAAGTGAAAGCATCGAATAGAAGATATATTTTAAAGACTTATTTTTAGATTTTTAGAAATATTATTTAAGGTAAAACTTGGTACCAAGTGTGGAAACATAAGTATGTCTTTCTTAGCTATAGAAATTTTTTTGAATAGCCATTTGCGTATGGGACATGTAGAGTTGTTATACCTCTGTAATTCATTCTGCTGCCAACTTCATTCCCTTTTCTCTGCCTGCATTTTAATTGAAACAACATTTATATTTTTGAGCCAGGATCTGTCAGAAGTCCCTATGGCTAGTCTGTGGTACAAGTAGCAGCAGACGTAGCTTACCCATATGGTGCGGTGCTTCTTGTAAAATCCATATGGCCTTGTTGAAGGGAATCCCAGCGGGGATGTGAAGGGTGTTAATACCCTTCAGGCCAGGCCCTTCCCTCCTGGGGCTTCTGTGGCATTGTCAGTGCAATCTGCCAAAGCACAAACTTAATTCCTTTTTAATAATCAATTATTTTAGTCTAGGAACCTGTGCTATTTTTCTGAAGAAAAATTTTTCCTTAGAAAATGTCTTTACAAAGTTTTAACTGCGTCTTTAAAAAGTACTCTAAAGCTTCTTCTTCTTGTTTTTTAATTTACATTTGTAGGAAGTACTACAGAGCGTGCCAAAGTTCTGTTTCCCCTTTGACGTTGAAAGGTACAGTATAAGTCAATATTTATAATAACCTTAGCTTATCTTAGCACACACTTTAAAGTGATTACATGAGCTTTTTAACGAAATCAAATACAACATCTCTTCACTATTTCTAGAGGAACAGTGGAGACTAGAGATTCAAATTAAATGACATTTGGAATCAAGAAGGCTTTTCTATTATAATAGCTTTTACTTTGTCCACTATGGCCCGACTGGAGGAGTCTTAAAGCAATATTGTCAATAGGCTTTTTCCCCTTAATCTTAAGATACATTTTGTACGAACTAGTAGGAAAAATATGTCCTTGATCTAAACCTTCATATTGTTTCTTTTAAAGTTAGATGTATATATCCTGGTGTCTCCCTTACTTCCTCATAATCGAACACCATCTGTAGGATGTAAAAGTCTTGGCTAGTTGTCTCCCAAGAGTAGCTTCAGAGAAATAGTGCAGTCTTATGGAAGGCTTCCTAGCAGTTGTGCAAATTTTATTATTTTTGTATTTTACTGAGCAAATGTTGAATGAACTACATGTATTTAGTTGGAATTTAATAGAATACATATTCCTTTGAGCATAATGACAGACTCTTATTTTGCATGTGTTTTTTTATACCATATTATCAGTTTTCTTAAGACTATGGTATAAGATTTTTGAAACAAATTTATTTTAGGAAAATATTTTGGTAACGAGCAGTGAAACTCCTAATTTTACTTATTTAAAGGCAAAGACTTCTGAGGATGAGCTAATTTATACTAATAAGTATTTTTGAGGAATGATACTTCTTGTTTAAAATTTCTAGGGAATCAATTCTCTCCTCCCATCCTCAGTGATCATTTTAAAATCAATAAAATAAAGAAAGAAAACCTGCCAAAGGATATTGTGAACCTTGAGTATTAGGGGGCATATTAGTCACTGGAATTTGAAGTTCAATTTGAAGTTCATAAGTTAAAATATTTAAATATTAAGCATTTGAAATGCAGTATTTCCTGAATAAATAGTAGTACAGGTACATTGGTAGTAATTTACTTTCCTTATACTGTTTTAAAACTAAAATTTAGGTGTCATGGGTATTTTATTTTGGGACAAGGAACCACTTATCTAAGGCCAAAGTTATAGCCAGTATTCAGACGTATACTTACAGATTTTATCTAATGATTTAGATTGCTCTTTATACTGTGGTGTGACACATATTATGGCATTATGATACTTAATTCAAAATTAGCCAAACTTCTTTACAGTTTAGACAATATACTTTACTGGAAAGCACATTCTTATTTGTATTTGGAAATTAAATCCTCAAAATATTGATAGCTCTAAAAGCAAATGCTAAGGAAAAAAACACCAATTGTGTTTTGTATGGTACTTTATTGGGTGAGAATGTCAGCAGAATAAGCAATTAAGCAGAATTGGTGGAGACTGCCATTAAAAACATGATTTGCTATCTAAGCAGTTAATAACTGGAAAGCAGAATAATTGGGAAAAGAGAAGCTACTATGAGCTCAAGGACTCACTTTGTGTAGCTTCTTCAGTTTCAGTAAAACTATTTAAATACCATATGAAATATTTTATAGGTACTTTAAACTATGACAAACTTCTTTTGAATTTTTAGTTAGGAATTTGTATATGCTGAATTGTGTGGTCTATAGGGTAGTATCTTATTTTGATACATGATTCATGATTTTATTCATTTCACATTCATTCTCTAGTTTTAGAACAGAATTACAACTTCAAGAACCAAATGATTGAAAACCAACCATGGAAAACAACACTATGTATATACTTGAATTTGTTTTTCTTTAAGAAAATTGTCACACCAGGCTTAATTTTTCATAATAATTACTGTATTTTAGGGTGTCTCAAAATCAAGTTGGACAGCACTTTACCTTTGTTCTGACTGACATTGAAAGTAAACAGAGATTTGGATTCTGCAGACTCACATCAGGAGGCAAAATTTGTTTGTGCATCCTTAGGTGAGTAATTGTAATAAAAAATTGGCTATCAAACAGATGAGCTGTATCCTCCTTTTTTATTTCGTTTTGCTTAGATGCCAAAAAATAAAAACAAAGAAGATTGCTTTAAAATTTTAACTTGTTTGTCTAACTTCAACTGAGTTAAAAGGTAAATTTTTTTTTTACTTTCTGTATACAGATTCAGTTGGGTATAAAGATTATTGGTAATATAGTGAAATTTTTCTTAAAAGAATTGAGTCATTTAAAGATTAAATTTTGTGGATTTATTTTTGCAAATTAAACATTAAAATATGAGTTTAAACAATATAGGTATTTCTCATGTTAAATGTGAAATATTTCACATTAATTGAAATATTAATTGAAATATTTCAATAAATTAATGTATGCCCTTTCTGTCATTGATCATAACTTTGATTTTTGCAAATGAATTGCTGCTTTAAGTCAAAGGTTGCAGACTGAAGATTGAAATTTCTGTTTGGCCTTGGGTGTTTAAGAACTTTTAAGACATTAACCGCATACACTTAGGAAATATTGTTTAAATTCTGTATTTCTAATTTTTCTTATGAGAAATGGAAATATTTACTAATTATGATCCTGTACTCCCCAAATGTCGGCAATAAGGTAAAATTAAATAGTAGGCTTTTAGTTACATCATGAGCTTGGTAGTTTCTGTCGTTCCCAACTGTCCTGCTTCAGTAGCTTTTGTGATGTGGCTTCATTCAGGATGCAGTGGAGAGTGGGCCCCCTGCCCATGGACTTCATATCTGAGTTGCTGGCTATTCAGAAGGGTACTGAAGGTTAGCATTCCTGTTATGTGTCCTGATGAATCAGAAACCAGGTGTAATCTATAAAAATAGGACCATATGCTATGATAATATGGATAATGGTCAACGTAGATTCTGTAGAAAAGTTTGTAAAAAAGAATTAACATTTAACTAATGAATTAGCACATTAGAAACATCAGCATAAAAATTGGAGTCTTCTCTGTTTTCTATTTAGCTGCATTAGTGTGATTCACCGTGAGTTAGGTATTAATAAATTTGGAACATTTTTTGGAGCTGGGGATTTTTTTTTCAATTTTTATTCAGAACTAAATTCTTAATTGCCTTCTAGGTAATAGAATGAATGTGTTCCCATTTTTGTCTTAATGGCATACCTTTTTCATCCTGATAACAGTTGCATTTAGAAGTTGTGCTTTATCCAGAAGGGTCTTACACTTACACTGACTTAGAGCAGATGATTGTGCAGTGGGGAATGAGTGGCATTATGGGAGATGGGTAGGGAGAGCTCCTTTTATCACTGTGTCTCGTGCTAAATTCCCAAAGCTACATCTTAATGGGGGGCATAACCGCATGAACTCTGTCCCAGACAGTGTGTCCTGAAACAAAACAAAACCAAAAACAACTATTTGTTTTTTTTTATCACCTTTCATTTAAAAACTGAAATTTGCAGATGTGTTTCAATAGTATAATGAACTCATGTTAACATCCCAGGGATTCATCAGTTAGCAGGCATCTCTCTCCTTTCCCTTTCATCAGTGTCTTCTCTCTTTTTTTTTTCTTTTCTCTCTGTCATTATTATTATTTTTGTTGATCACTTGGCCATTTGAGGATACATTGTAGATATTATAGACTTTTTTTTGTTGTTGTTGTTACCGGGGATCAAACTTGGGTCCTTGCGCTTGCAAGGCAGGCCACCGAATCGCTGAGCTAAATCCCCGGCCCCTTATTTTTTATATTTGAATCTATATTTTATAGCTTACTTCAGTCTTCAAACTGCATTTTTGATGTTATTTTAAACTAAAAAACCTAAGCCTTTTTTAGTGTTTTGAACTCTTAAAATATTTTGAATATATATTTTTTTGGTTTTTGGTAGTGAGTATTGAACTCAGGACCTTGTGCTTGAGAGGCAGGCATGGTGCAACTGGGCTAACTCTCCAGCCCTATTTTGAACATTTGAACCTGTTAATGATAATTAAATAATTATTGAATGTTCAGACTCATCTTTATAAATTTGCCTCTTTTGTTTTTTGTCTAGAAAAGCCATTATTGCCTCAATATTTACATGCATACGAACTATTTTTTATATGATTGAAAGATTTGTATAGTGTCCATATTGATAATCCAGTCATCTTCATTCATTTTTATTAAAGTAATTACACTAACCAATATATTTTCACCTTGGTTCTTATTTTATTGTTGCTGTTTTGTTTGTTTTCTTTTTTTGGTACCGAAGATCAAGCTCAGGTCCTTGTGCTTGGGAGACAAGTGGCAGCACCACTGAGCTAAATCCCCAGCCCTTATCTGTGGTTCTAAATCTTGTATATTTGAAAGAACAGTTCAATCTTTTGCTACTATTTGAGTTAGGAATAGTTTCACTAGTAAAAAGCGTATAACTATATGGTATCACTGTAGTAAAATATCAAAATCAAATTATATATGTCAACAAGAATGACCTTTTACAGTAATTATTATTGATTAGTCTATCTCTTATTAAAATTATTTTTGTTTAATCATTTAATTTTGTCATTTGACAGTGTTTTCTGGTAGATAAGAAATAGGAGATGTCAAAGCTTTGCAGAAAAATCACTGAGGAAAATCATACATTGAAAAAATTCTATTCTCCACCTTATTTTCTCATAATCAGAAAAATATTGCTACTTTAAGATTTTAATGGCATATTTCAATCTTCATCCTGAGAGTCAATGTACTAAGGTATTTTTGAGAGTAGCTAATTTAGAGAATAACCAGTAAATTAGATAACTAGTTTTAATAATGAAAGGAGAATTCAAATATAATGGAATTCAGAAACTTGTTTGGAAAGTTGTTATGGATAGGTAAGTATCTATAAGTTACAATCAGTGTTATCTCTTGGCAAATAATTTTGACAAATCTCTAGAATGCCATATTGAGAGAAGTAATGGTGTTTTGAGCCCTGATTTATTCATCTGGTTTGGCGGTTCTCTACAATTTAGGTTTGATGGTATATTTGTTGAAATGAATCATAAAAACCTAAATGTACTAGAAAAAGATGATGGTGGCAGTGAGAACCTTTATGTACCTGACATGGAATACAGAAGCCTGAAGGATTGGTGGTGTTTCACATCACCACATAAAGATGATGGAAACTTCTGTTTGGTGACAAATATAATAAGAAAACTTAAAATACAGGTAATAAACTGGTAGAAATAAATTCCCAACCACTATAACAAATGTTAATAATTGTAATATAAAACAAGCACCTACTGATTAATAAGAAAAAGAGCCCAATAGAAAATAAGTAAAGTATCTGAAAATCTCGCAGAAATGTGAATGGTTTGTATATTTATGAAGGATACTCCACCTTAGTGAAAGTAAAATAAATGAGCACATTGAGATTGGCAGAATTGAAAATATTTTCTTAAATAAGCTTTACAATACATGCATTTCATGCATTATTTGCAAGACCATAATGATGTAACCATTTGAAGGGAAATGTAATAGCATCAATCATATTTTTAAAATCTCATGCTTCTTGTCTCAAAGTAATATTAATTTTTAAAGTAATATTTGTGAAACATTTCAAAGTAATATGTTTTGTTTATGTTTTTCAGAGCCTGTTATGACTCTATATATGTATATGTCTTAAATAATCCATAACAAATAATTATATAGTAATAAATGACTATATAATTATTAAAAAGTTTAGAAAGATATACTCCCCATATGTTTTATTTTATATATTTCAACATTTATCCACTTTTTGTAATGAGGAAAGCAAATCATTTTAATCAGTTTTTTTGTGGTTAGAGATTTTGAGATATTATTATTTAGGTAACAAACTATAAATATAGTTCTATATATTATATTAAAATTAGTAGGAATTTAATCACATCATCTTTTGTCAGGTACAATATTTATTGTGTTTGCAGACTTGGAAATTATCTTACTAGGGTGTTTTAGTGTAGGCATTTTAAGTGCAGTAACTTGATACTGGGAGTGTAGTAGAATTAAGAATGGTGAGGGGAAAACTGTGTACTATGCCTTTGAAAATCAGCATCAAAATATGAAAGAATGATTTTTTTAGGGGGGGATACTTGGGATTGAACTCTGGACCTTGCGCTTGCAAGTCAGGTAGCAAAACTACTAAGCTAAATCCCCAGCCCCAAAAGAATGATCTTTTAAAGAAAAAAATATTGATGATGGGGTGACTGTGACACTTTTTGAGCTAGATATTAGTGTTTTTCTGTAATTTCAATATAAATGTTCAGTGTGGTAGAAATATTTAATGAGATGGCTGAAGAAATGCTACTCTACTTAAATTTATTTTCTACTTCCCCTTTTTCTAACAATACTCATTTAATTTCACTCTACCTTAAGATGTAAGATTGAGACAGGAGAAAAATCTGTGTTATTATATATAATAATATATATGTTAGGTAAAATTAGGAGATAGAATAAGTAGTTTTTGTAAGGCATGGGGAAGGCAGGAATATTTAATGAGTTACTCATAGAAATTTTTGTGGCAATTAAATCTCTTAATTTATAGGCCAGTTTTCTTAAAACAAGTTATACTGCTTTTAGTGTGTATGAGAAAAGATCAGCTACACTGCTGTTTTGAGTATTTTCTAGTATCAGCCAAAGATTTAGAGTAATGTTTGCAGTTTATTTTGTAAGAGTATTTTGGACTTAGAATTTATGTACCTAATAAGGCTAAGATTTGTTGAGGAATATAACAAAATACTTGCACAAACAAGTCACAGAAATATTTTTAACCATGTTTTCTAATAAAAAAGTACTATTTTATTATAAAAATTATAGATGATTCAGAAAAGTTTAAAAAAGAAAATAAGAGCCTCTTATATTTGTGACACATAGTGAATACATTCATTTAGGAATCTTGCTTCTATAAGATTTAAGATATATTTATAAAGTTTTCTATAGGATATCAAACTAAATAATTAACTGTGGTCTTAATTCATAATAAAATACACAAAAGTCTTTAAAATATATCATAAACTG